AATTGGTCGGTCCTATAAGCGATTCCGTCTTAGCGAGGTCTTACTATACTATGTTTTCCGTGAATAAGTCCTGTCATAATATTATGGTATTAATTAGGTTATGAAAAATTACCCTTTAATTAAGAAAGGTACTACCTATATATGATACTAAGATACTTTCAATCAACGTATATACATAGTTATATCAAACCAGAAATGTACAAATTGTTTTTATTAAAAAAAAGCATTTTTGAAACGAAATCAAGTACAACTACAAATAACGCAGTATTTACTACAGACTTTATTTTATTATTCTACAGAACTTTATTTAGAATACTAAATTTTGTTTTCATTCCTTCCATAACTTCCGAGTGATACCGCTGCTAAACGTGATAGGACTTTCGTGATTGTAATTTTTGTTAATGGACAATAATTATACTGGACAACGAGCTTAGATGAGACATATACTCACAAAGAGATAGAATTTAGGAAAAAATAATATTTAAGGTATTTTAGGTATTATTCTGTAGAAGTAGGAGTGTAGGACAGATAGTAAAATAAAATTGTAGTAAATACGACTTTATTTGTAGTTATAGGTACTCCTCAATTTCTTTCCAAAAATGATAATTTTATAAAAACAATTTGTACAATTCTGGTTTGATTATGTAAGACAATTGTGTTAGTCGGTAAAAAGTTGAAAAGTTTTGAAGGTACATCAGCAAATGTGAGGTAAGTTCCGTTTTGTTTAAAAAAAGTTGAATTTCTCATTAAAAAGTTAGACCCATACTTTAAAATATATTTCAATAACTTAAGGTGCCTATATACTATCACATGAGTACATGACGCTGGCTGGTCACTTCTTCACACAACACATTGTATACCTTGAGAGTTGAGAGCTTAATACTATAGACATATAAATTATTTAGGAACTGGGTAAGCTTTGTAGAAATCAGTGTTCTCGCTTGTAAACTTGCGCGTAAGACGCACTTTAGTAGAATGCTTTAAGGTATAAATATATAATAGACATTTAATCGATTATAAATGGTTAGATTTTTATTCAATCCGGCCACGAAGTTAATCGTTTATTTATAAATGAAAATAATTCTTTGTTAGGAATTAGCTATTTACTCGTGAATTATTTATGCACCACCCTTAAATGTCAAGAATTCAAAAATAATTCAATATTTAAATGTGCATTTAATAGTTTATCTATTATCTATATGCAAACGATACGATACCCCTTTCTAAAAGTCAAATTTAAAGGGTATGTATGGGTAGTAAATATACTACTATAGTAATAATACTATTCTCTCTCTATGCAGGTATAGTATAATATCCGTTATACATATAGAATCATATGAGCATTATAATAATTCTTATTTATATAGTTTTACATTATAAACGTTACTAACAAAATATTTTAAATCGTTTGCCCATATGGTCGTATACGAATTAAGTATTTACTAACACTGGAGTCTGAAATAATACTCGTAAGTCGTGATCGCTCCACAAATAGAAATAGAAGAGGATCAACAGCCATTGCCTTATACATTCGAAACATTGCAGTTTTAAAATTACAAGAAACTATTTTTTTTTATTTTATTCGAAATAGGTATTTATAAAGTCAGGACTTACAAATGTTTAAAAAAAATAGGTAGATAGTATAGGTAGGTACACAAACACAAGTGAGGCTATATTATATAATATACTAAGACAATAATTTTGTTATAATTTAATTTAGTATATGTATATATATATGATGTGTGTGCGTGTGTGTGATTTGCAGATTTATGGTTAGTATTGATAAACCAATTATAAACATGTTTAAATAAATACAGCTTTAAAATAACTTTGCCTGTAAGATATCTACTCGTATTTAAAAAAAAATGTGAAATATGCATAAATATATAAAACTATAGCCAATATATTATTATTACTCGTTAGTTTTAATTATTCTGTACTACACACTTAAGTATAATTTATCATTTATGGATAGAATAATATGCGCTATTAGTATTTGTGTTATTATTAGAAACAAAATGATTCTGTAAATAAACCATTCACCCTATTTTAATTAATCTCTCTTTTCCTGGATGTACGACAGTACAAGATCACACATATTAGGATTCTAAGTATACAGACATGAGGATTTCCGTATTTATTAATATTTGAATATGATTTAGATATTGTATTCATTCATTCATTGTTTTAATTATACAATTATTACAATAAGTAAAAAAAGTTGATAATAAATAAAATAAACATATCTTTTGAGGATGTAAATATTTATGGATTAAAATATTATGAGCTAAAAATGAATTGAACGAATTTACGATGCGTAATAATTGTTGTGAGCATTCGTGAATTGTATTAAAAATATCTACTTAATTTGCTTATAAATATGAAATTGGTATGTTGATAGAAACAAGGACTCGAATTTTGGATACAAGGGTATGCATTTGCATCCAATTGATCTTAATATTATATGTGTAGCATTTATGTACCTAAACCTATTCCTTTTCATATTTTGTATTAACGAAAAACGGTCAATTATTATTATTATTATTATTAAATAATTGAATTTAATGTTTTTTACAGTAAGACTTGGTTAACTAGAAATCGAAAGAACCAGTGAACAAAATACAAATCCAAATTATACAAGGATAATATAATAATAGAAAAGGGGCTATGGACAATGTCGAGGTATAGACGATTTTGAGTTATAAAAGTTCGTGCTAACCAAGTTTGACTGTATTATAAATTTATTATGAATAAGTAGGTATACAATAATTCATATTTATTTTCTTTGTGAGTAAATTTTATGACATTATAATCTGACTAAAAACTATTATATACTAATTACGCAAATATAGATTATTATTTAGTAGGTATAGTAATAGTGTGTGTTAAAATAGGGATAAATTCTTCATTGCGTGCAGACACCCAACTGCAATATTTGTGGCGCCAAGCACACACGGAACGTCGTCTCTCGTGATACTCTGCCCAATGCAAATTGTTATTTTAAGTATTTTTCGTTGTATTACATGTATACTATATAATACTATAGTAACTGAAAAAGTATAATATACGTTATTATTTTACAATTATATCTCTTTTTTTAGAAATATAAGATTATTTTGAGCTGCATATTTAAACATTAAAATTTATATTTACACAATTTAATCTAATATACATTAAACCGTCAACATAAATATTATAAACATAATTTATTGTATAATAAACTAGAGTATGATGAAATATGTATATATATAATAATACAGGTACATCTTATGGTGTCTGGATTATATTTTGTTACGTTGAAAATGGAAACAATAGACTATGTGACACCATTAAGCTATATCCCGTGAAAACATCCAAATAAAGTATTTTCCTTGTGGTATAATAAAGAATACATAACACAATAAATTGAATATTAACAGTGTATTCAACAGAAAATAATACAAGTATTCCCTATAAAATACCCTATACGTCCCTCTAGTAAATATTAAATTGTTCTCTATTATATGTTGATCATATCTGTTATAATTTTGTTCAATTCCTATTTCCTAAAAATGTGTTAGTATTTTAAAATTATCATACATTTTGTGATAGTCTTTTGAAAAATAAGTATTAATGTTACTATGCTATGTTAAGAATTAATAGGCATACAAATAAGATACATGATTAAGTAAGTAAAGTCAGTGTTTTAATTCAATATGTAATGAATTCATTTATATTTAATTGCTTTTGGAGAGGAATCTTATTTTCAATAATTGGTTTTATAAATTTACCTATAGAATGATTTCCATACATAAGATTCTTCGTCGTAGTAAAAGAGATTATTGAAAAAACATAATAATTATTACTTAAGAGTACCTACATAATTTTGTTTCTAAAATTTAATACACATAGGTTATATGTCACAACTCATATGTGTAATCACTAATCAGTAATGTGATAAATTACGGTTTTTTAGGGAAAATCAATTATTGTTGGTAAAAAAGGAAACTGTTCAACTTTTAGTATTGTATACCTACCTATATTAAATTGAATTCGTTGTACACTTATATAAACCTATATGCAGGTCACTTACTACGGGTATCCGATTATAGGAACATAATGTTATTAATTACTGCATTAGTGTATGATATGACAAAAAACTGAACAATAAATATCATCCATAATTATTATTATTTATTAATAATACATTTTCGAGGGTCATCTCATATTTTATTTTGTCTTTTTATAATACTCTAGGAAAACATATACGCAGCAGCAAGTGGTCACAGTGTTCATGGATCAATAGTATGCGCCAAAGGGAGTAGAGTGAGGGGACGGTACATTCCGCCCTTTTATGCGCGAGCTCCTTTCTCGTACACACAATCGCAGCACACAGCAAGCCTTTTGGAAATTATTCGACCAAATAACACGTTCAGTATGACCAACATGAAAGCTGTAAATGCATATAGTAAAAATATGTATTATGTACCTATAGGTATTAGGCAAATATACTTTAGAAATATCGAAAACAATGTTGAAATTGACAATTGCATTGATGATGAGTTCTACTAAAATAAAGTTTCATCAAATACCGGTATATCTTTGGCACTATAGAACAGTTGAAATCCTTAATGAACCATTTTGATTGTCAAGAATGTTTGTTATTTCTCGCGTCTCCACTAATTCGGTCGGCAAAAGAGTGAAGACATAATGATATCGTTGTTAAACTATGCCGACAATCGGGACAAAAAAACAAAACTCATCTATGAGTAATAACAACCAGGCAATTACTAGGATAAGTGTTAAAAAATTAACAACTTTGTATACTAATATACAATAGATCATATTAGTATATTTATTGAACGAAGCCGTACAACGAAAACGAATGTGACGCGTACGATAATTACCGTACATACGCGACACTGTTGCAGCTCCGTGCATTTGCGGCGCCAAGCGGTCACGATCCCTACGGCGGCGGGCGACCGTTTCACGGTGGTTGCTACTTGCTCAGCGCTCAGTGCCGTTCGGACCGCGTGCCTTGTTGTTCGCGTTCTCGTATTGTTAGTCTTAGTGACGTACTGACGTCTGGTTACGTACTCTCATCTCGTATCTGGTAGGCCTTTCTTTACATTACTAATATTGCATTTTTCAATAACCATCGCCGTTGGCCAGTCCAAACAAGTATTTTCCGAGAGCTATGCTGGATATGATGAACAAAATGGCCGAACTCAAGTTCGAAGCGCCCCTAGCGCAGTTCGAGGAGTCTGACGAGTGGACGAAAATGATGGACGACGACTCGCCGCTGCAGTCGGCCAAACACAACCTCCACAATCACCATCATCAACAGCCAAACAGTCAGCCGACTTCAGGTGGTGGCTTACGCGACGTGGATGAGGAGCAGCTGGATAACATGCTCAGCAACAGCAGCAGGAGCCTGGAACCGGCGAACAAGTCGTGCACGCAGTGCGGAGCGAACAACAACAATGTCGGCGTGGAGGTGACGACGTCGGACACGGACAATTTTGGAGAGACATTCAGCGGGTCTCTGGAAGACCTGGTTCACACGTTCGACGACAAAATCACCAGATGCTTTTGCGACTACGAGGAGTCTGTGGAGAAATTAGCGCCGGTTCAGATCAGGACTCAGGAAGAAATAATGAACGAATGCCAGTGAGTTGTACTTACACGCCAGATCTCGTGATAATAATATTATTATAATTGATTGATTTATTGATGTTTTATTATTATTATTATTGTTTTTGTTGTTGTTTACTTGTGGGCGAGCCCGGCTGGGAGGATTTTAATATATTACATTAACTACATATTATAATTTGTAATGTAAACATACAGAGAGTACAGGGACATACTGACCTACCTATTGGTTGTATGTTGATTGTATTATTTAAAAATGCTGGTGTTGAACTGCTGCATTGCAGATCTATAATAACAACACATACACATTATGTATACAGCATAAATAAAGGTATATTGTTTAGTTAACGGTTTTGCGGTGAGGAAGATCTACTTTGGGTGTTATGCAACTTGTTTTTATGCAGGTTATGGAGCATGTATCACCGAGTTAAGCCGTTTTCCTGTGTACGCAATGTGTAGGCAAAAACCGTGGCCCATCACCCTGTGTTAGATAGGTAGCTGTTGTTATAATTTTGTAGGTCAAACATTACATATATAGATCGAACGTCGTCATCGTCATTTAGCCGAATACCTTTTTTTCTCAACCGATAATCACAGCTGCGCATGCGGCATGCACCACACGGTCCATACAAGCAAAAACCAAATATTCCCAGAGTCGTGCCATTCTATCTATTACATATCAACACTTTCGATAAATATATATTTCAATACTCAATAGTTCCCGATATAAAACAAATGTTTACCTATATATTTTCATGTCGTGATGTATACGCTGAGATTCCAATGATGATGAAAACTCGATTCGCCTACTCGACCTAACACAATATACATTATTTACGGGTGGACGGCTTATTATACGACTACAATGAGATCGTTACGCCTCGGCACGCGAATAAGTGAATCACCACCGCTAACCTTATATGTACGTTTATTAAGACAACGAATGAATAATATAATGACGAGAAGCATTATTATCACGATAACAAATGTTGTCAAATGTGTATTGTGACGAGCTGATGGCTACGACGGTAATAAATAATAATATAAAATATATCTCGGGATTATTTTACTGTAGGTAGATACCAACGTTCGTTTCGAAATGTATAGTTTTACCTTGTAAAGTTAAAAAACCAACGAATTAAGCCTACACAAATTATGGACAATATTTATTCAAAATCGAGTGCATCATAACACTGTTGTATAATAATAACTCGTAATAAGTGATGTATTTTGTTACCATTTCATTTGACTATACATACAGCACGTGTATCAGAGGAAGTCGCGCGAAGACACTAAATTAATTATCAGATTTATTTATCATTAATTGATAGTTTTTTTATCAACAACTTTAATAATATAATATATTAATATTACATAAAATAATAATAATATAAATAAATAGCCAATAGGTTTATATATTATGTATATTATAGAAACATTTTACCGTTGACATAATATTTATTAGTTATTACTTATTACTTAAGTACCTATACTAGGTATTTATTATATTGATGATATTTAAAATTACCTATAAGTTATTACTTAATTAATAATAATCGGACGTTTTTAAATTATAAAATAGGTTTTTATATTTATGCCCGTATATAGGTACACATATATGCGATATTATTATTTATTTGTTTGAATAGAATCTCAGGATGTTGCTTCACACATTTTTCTTTAACTTAAGATATCTGAACTCGCATACTAGTAAATTACGCATTATAACTATTTTATAAGACCTGATTTATTAGATAACATAGTTTTAAATGAATTTACAGATTTACAATTACCTTTGTATTTTTTTTACCATATTTTTTGAACATAATATGATGTGTTTCTAGAGGATTTCTTGTGAAAATTGTCACGAAAAGAATAACTATTATACTTTTCTTATATAAACAATTAGGTAAACATTGAACGTCAAATTATTTTAGGTTTATGAAGGTCTATTTATGTAAAACATTTAACTATACTTAGGTACATTTTTTAAATATTTTGTTTACATCTTACCATTATTAATTAGGTCAACCCAAAAAAAAATTGTAATAATGATGAGGTAATTTAGGTTAAATTCCTATAAATCTTAATCTGACTTATAATGATTTATTTGTATTGTATTTAATCAATAACATCGAACAAGCCAATTCCATTGTTATATACTTATATTCATCTTAATTATAATAATTTGAATTATTGTGAAGTATCAACATAAACTAGTACCTACATATTACATATTATATTATTATTAAAAAAATTAATTCTCTTTAGACATATACTGTAAGAATTTAATCAAATTTGGCTGATCGAAACTGTTATTTAGATGTTTAATAGCAAAATATCAGGCATTCTGGAACTAAAATTAGAAATAAATGATTAACAGCTATCATGTTATTTAAATAAAAACCTACAATACATCTGTCATAGATTCACACACATCATTAAATACGTTGGCTTTTATCCAAAGTTCAAGGTTAGATCTTAAATGCGAAAATTTTATTTTTGAAATATAATACATACACATATAAAATGTAGGTGCTTCGCTATTTTTAACTGAACTTTTTTGTCAAAACAATCTCAACGTTTATAGTTTATACTATATTAAACGCTGCCAAAGTTCCAAAATTTATGTTATTGTTTAGGTGGTAAAAGTTCAAATATATAATTTAAAATATTTACGATTTGTCATTTACTCGTTTACTTAAAAACATATTTTTTGACATGCCTACTGATAATATAGAAATATAATGATTATAATTATGACATACCTACATGATTAAAATGTAGCATTATTCCTATTATAATAGTTATTACCTACATTTTATTACTCAATACCTAATTAAAAAACATAAATAAAATTGTTAAAATTAATAAATAAACTTTGATTGAAACTATTTATTCGATATAATATAATTAACATACCTATGTATTATTATTTATTAAAAATTTTAAAAGATTATAATATTGTTTATGTATAACTGTATAAGTACTCGTACCTATTGAGTATTAAGAGGATGTTGGTGGATTTTTTTCTCTCTGGCCTATGTGCAACAAAGCAAATTGTATACGTCCACAATAATGATTATATTCATGATAATTTCTAAAATTAGAGTGAAATGACCTCTTATAAAATGTAAAGGTAAGATTATTACCTAGGGAATCTTATAGGCGTATTATTATATTTTAATTTTAAAGCGGGTTATGAGTATTTTAAGATATACAAACAATTTACAATTATAAAAAACTCTTAAATAAGCCGTAAGTGTGATATATTATATTGGCATGAATTTTATTATATTATAAATCCATTGGGAATATTTTGTACCTGCCTATATTACTATCGCTGATTATAATTTATAAATAGTGTTGGAAATAGGTATATTACCTACAGAGTACAGAGTTACAATATTTATTATAAGTATAAACAGTATATGTCTACTAATAAGTAATAAGTAGTAACCAATGATATTGTGTTGTTTTGAAACGTCTGGTCTCTCTGGTGTACGTCGTGATAAACTATTAAGTTATAGGTAGGTAGTCACTAGTCAGTTACTTTTTGTCAGGTGAAAGTTGTTGAACGATCTCTTATATTTTTTATACTACTTATATGAAAATAATATAAGTATACATAGTATTACATTTTTTTAAACTTGAAATAATAATATATTAATTGCTTGAATTTATGTAGAAATTATATTCTTCATTATAACGCGTATCCATCTAACTATAACATACCGATCAATAAATTTCAAGAAACCAAACAAATTAAAAAAATCCAACGTCTAAATACAGATAATGTTCTTGCCTTTAAGTTCGATAATATAAGTCAATTCACTCTTCTAGTTACTACCTATAACTTACAAGACCTAACAGAACAATGTTGTGCCTCTGCTGAACACAAATTTGCTGTGTTGCGTGTGTATCAGAGAGATAACGTAGTAATATAGTGCGCTGACATCCTCTTCATGTGTGCAAACTAAACTGCTTGTACAAATGTACTGAATTTGTAGATAATTTATGATTACGATATAGGTTTAATGTTATGTTTATTTACTTCTTGATGAATACATAATAGCACATACAGAATAATATTATTGTATTAGTAATTATACAATAGTTGTTATTAACAATTAAACAATACCTATAAATATTATAAATATACCTACATGGTTAAAATTAATAAATATTTAAACCTAATATTTAGTGTTTGTAACGATTTACAAGTACTACTAAATTACTAATTATTTAATATTTTCAGTTTAGTAGTCTTGAATATTATGTTAACAAAATACTCGTGAAGAATACCAAACTGTATGTGTTAGATAATATTACAATAGTTTGGGTCAGTTTTTGTACACAAATAATTTGAGATGATTCATGCTATTATAACATGAAATAATAACCCGTTGCATAGACGTCTTTCTGCTGTGTATGAACATGTGGATTTACCTCAGATATACTACCTGTAGCCAGTAAAATCTAAAAAACCAGTTTTAATATCGCCACCATAATGATGCACATATTTATAGTAACTATAGAGCAGGCCGAGTAACCGAGACTTCACTTGAACCCATGCAGTCGGTATGATAGCGTCAAAATTCTTCACGGTAACTTTTAAATCCATTTTTTGTGTTTATTTGGTTACTTTTTTTCAATTAATAAATTATTTATAATGTTTCATTAAATTTTTTTTTAAGTAATGTTAAAATAAGGTAATTAACACTTGGTAGTTGACATTTAAAGATTTTTTTTATCGTAAAATTATAATAATATTAATTATTGTTTTAATATAAAAAATAAAATATACACACTAGTACCTATATTATTATGTTTCGATGGTTAAAATGTATAATGTATACATATTATATGGGTATTGTTATAATGGTCACAGCGTGCTGGAGATGACCCACGGTCGCTTGTCCATTGCTGGGTTACCGCACAAAGGAATAAACGACACTCTATTGTCAATAAAGTACCTATTAATTTTATAATTGTGTCATTCAAATAATCGTTGGGATAAATAAGTAAAAGGCAAAAACCTGAAATGTCTTTACAAAAAAATATATATTATGGAGTATTGGAGTATGTGTACCTATGAGTGTTAAGTGTTATATTCTATCTCTGTTTATGACACTAGTCAAATATATTAAATCAAATGTTGAATCGTGATCACGTTTCATGTATTAATAATGATGAAGGGGGCTGGGGGCCGTTCTTAAGAATGGTCGAGAACGCATAACGTATATGATGATTCTGTAAATATTTTTTACTATCCCACGATGTATAGTTAGTGTTAATTTGATAATATGAATAACATAGTATAATATATACTTTAACATACTATTGTTCGTGCGTAGTCTATATATTTTTAGCGGAAGTAAATTTGGTTATATATGTATCTACCAGTATGTGCCTATAAAATATTATCTATATTTTGTATCCAATATTGTATTTACAAGTTACAACTATGAATAAATATTATTAAAAATACAATTTTATGCCTAATTTTTATTTAGGTTTTTCATTTTATACAGTAAAATTATACATTTATTTACTATTAATATATAAATTATAAGATATAACTAAACTGCAATAACAAAATACAAACTTGTCTAATTAGGTACCCAAAATATATCCAACAGATTATCTGAGATTATTTGAAAAATGAAATACTTAATGACTACCGGACTACGTAGGTATGCGTCGTAGTGTCGTACGTCTTTAGGGTGCATTATAAGAGTAGTTTTACCAATCCTGCGACATAATAAATGCAATTGTTATGCGTGTAGGAGTGTAGGACAGATGTCTCGAAAACTCAGATTATATATATATATAATTTATGCACGTACTACATATATATAGCCTATAGGTACCCATCTTGATGCTATTAACATGTTCTTAGACTACTTAAAAAATATATCTCATATATATAACCACAGAATGTAAAACTTTAAGTTCATTCGTTGTACATGTAAGAAAGTACGTATTTGTGTATTATTAGGTACCTATGTATTTTTATACCTTTAGTAATTTAGGTGTCTCTACTATATTCGTGTGCGTAATTTGTTATTCCATTAAAATAATTAGAAAATGTGTAGATGTATATTATATGATATGTTATTAATGTGCCTATACTGCCTTGGTAGGTACCTAGTGTTTATGTTACCGTTGCTGATATAACGTTCCTAGGTAGTGAAAAAACTCTTTTTCTGATAGTTAATTTTTATTATTTATTCATTATTAATATATCAAATTATATATTATTATTATTTTTTTTTTTTTACTTTCTATTAAATTATATTATGTAGATGTGTAGTTACCGTTCGACTTGAAGACAACCGAATTTCTTATAATTTTAAAAATGGAACTTCAAATTTTTAACTTTATCAGTTTATTACTCAAATCACACTCCCCTGTTATTGGACACTATAATTCTATGTATACGATTAAGTAGTAGGCAGTGTTGAAATTAGATATTCAACTATAAACTAAAAGTATACTAATACGGTGGCTCGTAATAATTAAGGTGCAAAAAAACTTTAAATAAAATGCTAAATAACAATGATAACATTGCTAACATGACACGCCCAAGCAATTAATCTAATTCTCAAGCAGAGTAAATTTAGGATTTTAAATTTATGTATCACTTACCTATTTACTTATCAAACCATTTAAATTTTCGTGGACTGTTGATAATAATTTTTATAACAGATAGAAATTTGGACGTTTCTTTTCAGGGAACTTATATGTATAAAATCAAAACGATTAAAGGATAGGTATATACTTTTTATTATTTTCTTAGATATTTAGCATAGGACATCGGTATGATAATATACGTAGGTATATATTTTATACGTCGTTTGAACAAAGGGAGTGAAATGTGGATTTAGTAAAAATAAACAGTAACATTATTTTCTATGGTCGATAGGTATTATCTATAAATTCTTATTTTTAAAGTGTGCAAAGAAGATCGTAATTTTTTACATAATTACATATTATAACAAGCTCTGTATCATAGCCCAAGTGCATATTATATTCTCATTTCTAACCTTTTTTTCTTTTTGAATTTAGTACCAATATTATAATCCCGATTATAATTATTGAATATCTACATTAAAATGAAATTATATTTTGTTGTGTGTAAAATATTATATTGCTAAATAATTTTAAATGTTATTTTTTAAAAAAAAATTGTTGAAATCACTTGCATACCTACCTATTTATGTCCATACTTATAAGTACCTATACATAATATTATACACTAGGTATACATTATAATTTTTAATATTATATTGACATGTAGCTTAAAGTCTCAAAATTACTCATAGAAATTGTATGTACATGTAAAGCCCCCCTATAACTGCCATAACATAATTTATATAATATAAGGTCAATTGTTCGAGTTGCCCTCTAAAATTTCAATACATGGTTTGTTGAGTCGTCCCTTTTAAATTAGTAGTAATTTATATCATTGGTCTGAGTTAATGGGCTAAGGCCAAATTATTTATCTACATTATTCATATAGTATAATATATGAATACAATGTGTGATATACATGTATACATAATAGGTGTATAATAATTGTCTATTATATAGTTAATAGTTTCAAAAAATTAGTTATCTTACAAAATATGATAATTTAAATCTAATTCAATAATTATATTTAATTCTGAATGTCCATCTATTATATATCATTAATATTTAATAATATTTGTCAATTCATGTACCAATAAACAAATTATAATTTCTCATTTTAGAATGTGGTGGACAATCACAGGAAACTTTGGCAATATTCTTCCTATTGATTGGTCCAAGTCATATGCACGCAAAGTTCAACTGCCAGTACTCAATTTGAATAACAACATCCAGGTAGAACAACATAAATTATAGTGACTTGATAATAATTTATATCAAACTAAATAAAAAATTTTCTGAATAGGACGAATCATCAGATGACCTTAGCAGTGAAGACGAAGCCGTTTCAAATGACTTAGATTTGCATACTTTGATATTGTCAGGTCCCAGTGCAGATATTGAACCTCCAACTGCCGATGAAGTGATTAGAGAAATTGATGATATTATGGAAGTATGTTGTAAATATTGTAATTTAATATTAATTGTTAACCATTAGATACTATAAAAATATACATTTATATCTTAGGAAGGCACTTCAAATGAGTGTACTCCGGACTCTGAACATCCTAAGGAAGTTCATTCACCATTACTAGAAGAAAGTTAGTTCATATTTATTAATAAATGTAGACAATGTTTAAAATATTTTATATTAATACTGTTTATTTTTGTATAGAGTTAAAAACATTAAATGTATCTCAACTCAATGAAGTTTACATGGAGTTAGAGTTGCTGATCAGAGACTATTCTGAAACATTAATTACAGAACTGGCATTAAGAGATGAGTTGGAGTTTGAAAAAGAATTAAAAAACTCATTTATATCATTGCTATTGGCTGTTCAAAATCGAAGGAGACAATATCATGTTGAGAAAAAACGGAATTCGAGAGCAGGAAATACAAACAAAAACGTAACAAATGAGCCAAAAGTATGTTTTGTATTGCACTGTCATACATTTTTTTTACAACTGTTCTATTATTTACAATCTGATATTTTATAGTATTTAACCACTGTCATACCATACCATTTGGATAGTGGACCTTTAAGTAATCAGGCACTTCAAGTTCTCATTAAAAGTATGAAGAATAAATCCACCTATATTTTTAATTGATTTGATAAATGATACATTTATAATTATAACATTTTTAGTATTAAAAGCAATAAATGAAGACAGTCCCACAGTACCAACATTACTAACAGACTACATTCTTAAAGGTAAATATTATGTTCTTTAGATATTCATTATATTTATTATAGTGCCAACTGCCAGTTAAATATATCACAAATTGAAAATAAATATAATATTACTTTTCCACTTATATTTAGAACAAGAAATATTGATTATTATAAGATAGGACAATATTTCTTATATTAAATTCTTGTTGCTTTTATCAACTTCACACTTTTTTCATATGAAAATTTGAATTATAATTTAAATTTAAATTTCACTAATTTGCTGCATGCCCATTATTGAGTTCAAATATTTAGTCTAAAGAGTTATTTTCCTCTTGGCCTGAACAACCTGGAGAGTTATGAATAAAAAAAAAAAAAAAATGAAAATCAGTTTTATCAGCAGCTTGGGTTACTAATTACTTATTAATTGATTGTATTCAAACACAGAAAATAATTATAAATAATAATCAAATTACTTCACAGTACACCAAAGTATCAACATATTAAACTAAGAAATTTGAAAACAAACATATTTGAGATTATATTTCCTAAGTTATTTCTGAAAACATTAAACACTTACAATTGTTTGTAATAATTATTGTTCTCAATATTTGGCCATCAGTGCAACTTTATTTAATAAGTTTTACTCTTCTTAGTATTCAAAAAATTATAAAAAGTTATTTATATAATTATATATATATATTTTGTATTTCAGTATTGTGTCCCACATAATTGAATATGGATCAGCAAAGTGGAATGATCAACTGCACTCTGAACTCTACGTGATATAACTTATTTAATTTTAACTTACTATGGCATAATCCGTAGATTTTTAGTATCTCTAATAATTTATTATAAGTTCTACTTGAGGTACATTATTTAGACATTATTAGTATTATATTAAAACACTTGGAATCTACAATAGATTTTGTGTAATAATAACTCTACAAAACATCTTTCTTCTATTTAGTAAAAAAAAAATCTAATGTATAAATAAATTAAAGATTTTTTTTGTTTTGTGCCATTTAGATATTTTTAAAACAAATGAATAATATAGAAATTAATGAATACTCAACATGTAATTGAATATTGACATAAATTAAATTAAACTAAAATCTTACATACCCAATTGGTGCTTCAAAATAATAAAGTAATGATTTACTTAACAATACTTATATAATTATGGCATGAATGAATAATGATTGATCATTTTTAAGATGTCATTCATAATATATTATCGAGCTGATTCCAAAATTTGATAAATATATAGTTAGTTCAGGCTCGCATTTAAAGATACTAAACAAATAAACAATATATTACGATTATATAGTATGAATTATGGGAAATGTTTATTATGTTGCGCTGGGACCAAAATGAGTGCAAATCATGATGCGAAAGAGTTATTTTATTAATTTTTTTTTTATGTCATTCTATATTTCTCAATTTAAATTAGACTAAGTTTATTATAAGATAAAGTTTAATTTTAGCTTAATTTTAGATTATTTATTGTATTGTTTTTGTGATAATCTTTTTATTTATGCTTATGTACAATTTAAAATGTTTCTTTCTTTTTTAAGCTTTATTAATTATTTATATTGTATTGTTTAAATGTATTTTATATACTAATATTTTCATCAAATATCAGATGAAAAATGTTGTATATGCCGACATATAATTATATAACGCCCTCTAGTCATAATATTAATAAATGCAAAATAAATTATTGTCAATGAACATTATTCATTATTAATCATCATACAGTGTATATTATAATTTGAGAAATTTAAAAATTTTTATTTCATCAATTTTTTCAATAAATAATGAATACAACTTTTCTGCAACACTGTTGCTGTAATAGCATGACATTAAAATTAAATACTGTTGCATTACATTTTTTACTTAGATTACATAGGTACATTCTACATTAAATGAACACTAAAACAGTACTGGTTAAACCTACCTAGCAATCGCTGGGGACCTTAGTTGAGAAAAAAATTTCAAAAAAGTTAAAGTTTACTCTCAGTTCTCACAAATGTTTTAATGTAATATATGACAGTTAAGTACTTAAAATAACTATAGTTATTTTAATAACATAATGACAAAAAACCTCCCTTTTACCATGATTTGAAAAAAAAATCAAACAGCCATTTTTTAGAGTTTTTCATTTGTATTATGAAGAAAACAAGATATGCATTTTTAGCACCTTTTAGTATTTTGCTATATAAGGTGTATAGTAGCGATGCTACATTAATCACTACAAATAAAGTGACGTGCTACTATAGCACATTTCTCCCGACCACTATGTGTATACAAATACAATATATCAATTGAAGTAAGATAATATTTGATACATGGAGTTTCTAGTTATATTATGTAGGTACCTAATTTGTTTTACAATGGAATTTGTATCATAATTTAAATTGTATACAAGTAAATTTCAATTATAAATTATATTATATCATCTTAAATTAACAAACATTTTAGAATATATGGTCATTGAAGTAATATATTATTTATGTATTATTAAGTTATATCCAGCAAGAGGCTGTGAGTGATTATAGTGACTACAGGCATGTATACTTATTCTTTGTTAGGCAATAATAGATTTTTTCCATCCACTCATGTATATATTATGAGACCATTTTGACAGTTTGTTTTAATTTGTACCTATTATCTTAGACATTAACTAGAACTATATCATCAGTGAACATCAATAATTTACCTTTCAATAATCATGCCAGTATTGAGTTCATATAGATTAAAAATAGTATAGGGTTTAAACACAAACCTTGGGTAACTCCTTAATATTTGACATAACAATAATTACTAGGTATATGTAATAAAATCCAATAGAATTGGGCAAAACTTTCAGAGGCACTGCCTGAACAATATAAGGTTTTTTACTGTTGTTAATAATTGTAAATCAAAGTTGCAATCTAATAACAAAGATTAATTTATAAAATATTTGTATCAATAAAAATTATGCTAACTAATAATAAATTTATAATATAGATACCAACCATTCTTTAATTTAAATTATAACATCAATTTAATTATACCAATATCCATAAATAATTTGATTGAACAACTGGCATTGGTATGTACATGTATTAAGACTTAAATACCATTATGCTGTACAGTTACTTTTTTATATGGTATTTATTTTTATTAAAATAGATTCAGATGAAAAAAAGGGGTTAAAAAAGTACTATCAACACGGACTCAAAGGAACTAAATATAGGCACAAAATATTCAATGAAATACCTACCTATTATAGTGTAGTAAGAAACATGCAATTTTTAATGAAATGACTCACTCGTGAAGTATGCAAAATATTTAGAAGTCATAGATAATACTAAATAATCTATGTTAGACAGAAATTAAATATACCTTTTAGCAATAATGCAAGTAAAAAATGTTTTTTTAATTAAAAATAGTTTATTACAGAGATGTTGACTGTTGACAACTCTACTGCCCTGTGTGTCTGTTTTAGATGTTTTTTTTAAAATTTATAGCTTATAAGTTATAAGAGTACCTAGTAGCTACTAGCTATTACCTACTGTATTATTTATAATATAATATCAGCGATCGTCGCCAATTTTCTCAGACTATGTTTCATTTCTAAAAAATGTAAGTATGAAGCATTAATTACTTTTATTTTTATTTGTAATAACACATCAAGATAGATGTTTTGTTGTCGTATCTTGAAGATTCGTTGACCAAAAAGTTATCAGAAAAAAGTATTTTTTTAATATTTAAAAATATTTCAGGCGTTACAGAATATTTTGTATCTTTACCATATCTTGGTATCTAATATTTTTTGAATAGTGAGAAAAAAAATACTTATTTACTTTTAATTTAGAAACTTACTTTATACAATTTTTTATTCTTTACAATAAATTAAATAGTCATCTTTTAAATTTTCATAAGAGAAAAAAACTTTAAGCTTGTATATTTTGTTGTTCGTCGATTATTAAGTATTTTGCTCGTTTTTTTTTTAGAGAATATTAGCATCATATTTCAACTTTTATTGAACCTAAAAATCTTTACCCTATACTTAGAAGTTAATACAGCATTCTAACATAAATAATATCAACTATGTTATGTATTAAGAGCACACCCACATTTGTTGATTCTATCTTCACCTTACAAGTGCATAACAGCAAATTTACGGTATCTTCTCTTCAGCAGTTCTCTCCTAGTTTCATTAGTTTTAACATTGAATTGAACTGAACAATGCATTATCACAGCTGTACTTAAAATGTAACATTTTCTGTGTATTTTTTTAATATATTAATTTTAAAAGTTATATGAGCATTAAAATAACATACCTAGTGCCATAGCCTTAAAAAGGTGTGTTTATGTTATGTTATTTATTACTTAGTGCCTACAGATGAACAACAATTAAATTTACCAAAGTATAAGTAAGATTATTCAACATACATTTTCCAATAAAACCAGACACTAGTACAGTAAGCACCTAACACCAAACTCAAACTTCCTGCACATTTTGAAGTATTTTAATAAGGTGTCTACAGTTTACAGTCTACAACACGACGGACATGGATAAGTACACCTTTATAGCGTATAATGTGAGCGTAATTTTCGACCATATAAACTAAGTTTAGTTTGAAGTATTTTGAACTTTGGTCTTCTAAAATATGTTTTGACATAGTATGGTCGGAGAGCGTAAAAAATAAGTCAATTGTGAATTGGTCAAATAGTCTTCAACGAGTCAAAGGAGTAACGATAAAAAGTAAAAACATTGATAATAAACATAAACGTTAATAATGATAAGAGCATTATTTGACAAGAAACGTACTGTAAGCAAACGTGCATAAATTAATTTGATATGAATAATAATATATAAATTATAAATCGAGTTCGGTTGCGAATCAATGGACGTCATTAACTCGGCAATCAAGCGTTTAGGTATTGTGTGTATTTTACGGTTGTTCGGATGATCTAGACCCGACAGCTGCGGTCAAATAACACGACCGCCGACAAAATAATATGAACAATTCAAGTTTCAACGACTACCGGACTGCTATATAACTAATTACCCACAGTTTCAAATGGAGAGACGCTTTTCGCCATTTCCATGTGTTACTGATAACGGAATCGTGAATAATAATAATAATAATGTACGGATAACCAAACAAATGACAAATATGTCAACGAAGAGAAAATTGATAATTTCTAAAAACTATTTCTATCAATTTATTGTTTAATAGTACTGCCTGTTGGCGCATAATTGGAATATTATTCTGATGACTTTCCGAACGAGCATATTTTGATCTACAAGTAAGTAACACTCAATATAATATAATATTTATGAAAGATTCTAAGATGTTTATCCGTCCTGTACTCCTGTGTAGACCTAATACGCGTAATAGTTTATATTTTCATAACTTTAAATCATAGATACATTCAAATACGTGCAATTAAACACGATTTTGTGCACATTTATTACATATTTAAATTACAACATCTTTAATCTTTACAGATTTAATAGTCAGATATTTTTCTCTGTTATTCAAATGCATATATGTGTTCATTAGCCTACTCTATAATATATTTTAAAAATATATGATAACCCATATTGTATGTTAGTTATTGTGTACCTTCCTATAACAATTAAAAATAATATAACATTATGAATGTGTATTATTACGAAACATAACGCTATAATACCTTATCATTGTGGAACATAATTAATTTTTAACATAGAACGTGATATTAGTTAAAAACGTAATAAAAATTATAAATGTACAAAAAATGTTATAAATACAAAACATAACATATCAAAAGCATTGTGAGCAAATAAATTAGTTATGTTTTGCGATGCCCATGATATAGTACACAAAAACAGATTACAGTTTGGGCTTGTAGTACCTTACTTTATATCCATAGGTGTAATCATTATCTAGTAAGAGCGAAGATATTAATTTGCTCTATTTTTAAACTATTATTTATTATTTATTATAACTTATTATTTTTATTATATATTTTTTTTATATATCTTTATTATTGTTTATCTCTGCGTTTCATGTAATTACTAATTAATTATTCAAATATTTGTGTTGCATAGGAATAATTAAAGGTGTACACATTTTAATATACAATAGGCAGTACAAACTTTACCCTAATGTTTAAAATTCTATTACAAAATGTTGAGAACTCGTATATAGTGTTTCTATTTTGTGTAGATTTCTAAATTGTTTGAGGGGTAAAACTCTGTCACCTCTTAGTCCAGCCATGATAGGTAAGGAATATCTAGAAAAAAAATTATCCAAGCTACGCCATTGCTTTACCAATTGCTTGTTCTTGTAATGGGAACTTAGTGGTTAGACCACATCACCAAAGTAATGTAACATTTTAATACATTATTAGAATTTTGTGTTGGTACAATCTTAAATTTATATCTACTTATTTCTAATTAAATTGTATTATGTTTTTATATTTATTGAAACATTTAAATATATTTTTCAGATTTTACTGAAGTTGAGTTGGTGAACTGTTATTATTTTCATAAAGCGCTGAAGCAGTAAGTTCATCACATTAATCATAACAAACGTCTCATCATTGTCATATAATTTTGTCAATCATTTGTTTATATTGTTTAATAACATGAATATGTTGAAAATGTGCACTTAAAAAAAGATTCTCATTAGATTTAAGTGTAAAATATGTCTTTATTATGATTTTAATAAGCAACCCAACTACAATGAATAGTTCAGGGCAAAGTAACGAATCTGTAAGTAAAGTCTGTGGTGATCTTCTAAGCAGTTCTGCTTGGAGTGCTGTTATTCATCAACCAGCACATGATTCTGATTTAGAAGACTTGCCTTCAACAGTTGATATGGATGCTATTAAAGATCCTATTCAGACATCTCATAACACTATAACTAACCAAGTGGTAGATTTCTCTGAATCAGAGTCAGAATCTGAATCTGAATCTGAAAAAGAAAAATATTGCACTAAAAAATTTGGTTACTCTTCAGTCGATGATGATAACATTGATGACTCGTCAGATACTTCATTTTCGTCATATTTACCTTGGTCAAAGAGGAAAGGACTGGACAAACAAAAAAGAACTAAAGATTCAGTTGACTCACATTCACATTCAAGTTCAAGTTCTAGTGATGAATCTAGCTCTTCTTCAAAATCAACTCATTTTGTGAAGCAACCAATTTATGATGGTACTTCTAGTGATGGATCAAAAAAAAAAGAATTTTGGCAGGAAGAACCAAAAAAAACATTTTCTTCGAGTTCAGAACTCGACAAGCTTGAAAATTTAGAACCTGAACATTTACAAGTCATTAATCAGGAAGACTTAGCTGAAATTTTATCTGATGTTCAAAATCAAAGTTTTTCTACTGGATTTGATGATGTTCAACCAAAAAATTTAAGTGACAGTAGCGACTCAAGTGACATAGAAATCAAAGATTGTGTTGTGAATGATGCAATTATACGTTTAAACAATTCTTCTGAAGATGAAAATAAAAAACCAGCTTATTCTTCAAAATTGTTAAAAGACTTTGTGGAGAAAACAGAAAGCGTGATACAAAAACCTAATTGTAAAACTAATGCACATTCGTTAGAAAACAAAACTGTTATTAGTAAACAAAAAGAAAATGTTATAAAAAGAGGCAGAGGGCGACCAAAAGGTGCAATTGTGACAAAATGTGATAAAGGAAATACAAACACACAAAACGTTTTGCCCAAATTGTCAGCTAATTTTAAGCGTGGACCTGGTCGTCCTAAAAAGATGCCTCCCCTTTTAGAACCAAATAGTCCAACAACAAAGAGTTTAGATTATGATCCTCCAAAAGAAATTAAAGTCCATAAAAGAAAGAAAAAGAGTAAGAAAAAGAAAAAAAAACGTAAGAAGACATTAAATCCAAAATTTATAGCTGAAATGGAAAACCTGGTTGCTTTATTTATTCAATGTTTAAATATATCTAAAATGTCAGAAAATATCAGAGGTAAATCTAGCTCATTGAAGTCAAAACAAAGAGAAAGATCTGGTAAAAAAAGGAAAATTGATAAGACAAGTTACAGCGATAATGATATTGATAAAAAAAGAAAAAAAGGATCTCCAGATACTTCAAGAGATTCTGAAACTACTAATGACCAACGTCTACCATTAAAAAAGCGACATTATCATATAACATCAGCAACGGGTGCTGGTGTTACATATGTTGAAGATGTATCTAGAGATGAAAATTCTGGTAGTGAATCTGATAAACAAATTAAAACAGTTAAAGTAAAGTCTGAAGTTAAGAAAAAGTCAGGCTTACGAAGTAATTCTGCAATACCAGAAGTTAAAGCAAAAGATAGTGAAAAAAGAGATGAACCTAAACCAAGGAAACCTCCTGCTGGCGTATTTGTACCAACTGTGGAAATGCCAAGCTTACAACTGAAAAAAAAGGTAGATGAAACTAATGTAAAAAAAGTGAAATTAATTAAACCTGAAAAAGAAAGTCCAATAGGAAAATTAAAGAAAAGAAAAAAATGTATAAACCGAACTGGATTTCCTGTAAAGAAAAAAAAGAAGAAACGTACAGACCTTATGGTATCTGATAATACATCTATTAAACATAAAATTGTTGAACTGCGGCCAAAAAGTGAACAAATTGAAATTACTCCAGAAAGGAGAAGTATTCGTGCGGTTGTTCTTAATAAGTTAAAAGATAAAAAGAAAGATGAAAAAGAGGATAGTGATGCATCTAGTGTAAGTTTACCTAAGAAAACTAAAACGGACCCTATTATTGAAGTAAAATCTCAGAAGAAGAAGCCCGATAAAAAGCATTCAATACAGTCTTGGAACTATAGGAAGTTAAAGACAAATGTTTATTATGATTTCAAACCAATTTGTACTTATGAAGCACAAGCATGTAATTGTGTAGTACCAACTGAAGGTAAAGGTTGTACAGATGATTGTATAAATAGAATGATTTTTGCTGAATGTTCACCTGAACTTTGCCCATGTAAAGAAAAATGTTCTAATCAACGTCTACAAACACAACAATGGGCTCCTGGCTTGGTTAAATTTATGACTGAAGAAAAAGGTTGGGGAATTAAAACTACTGAAGAGGTAAAAAGTGGTGAATTATTATTGGAGTATGTCGGTGAAGTAGTAAGTGAACAAACATTTAAAGATAGAATGACATCCATCTATAAAAATGACGTTCACCATTATTGCTTAAAGCTAGACGGAGGATCAGTTATTGATGGTCATAGAATGGGTGGTGAAGCAAGATTTGTAAATCATTCTTGTGAGCCTAATTGTGAAATGCAGAAATGGAGTGTGAATGGTTTATTTAGAATGGCATTGTTTGCTCTTCGTAAAATACAACACGATGAAGAATTATGTTATGACTATAATTTTTCCTTATTTAATCCAGATGAAGGTCAATTATGTAAATGTAAGTCTCTAAAATGTAGAGGTGTAATTGGAGGAAAAACCCAAAGAATTACCATAAGATCTCCCAGTGTTTCAAAACATCTACCATCTAATAGAAATCGTTCAAGAAAAGCTGCTCCTAATACTAATACTTCACCTAAAAAGTCTTTATCTATTGTTAGTATACAACAAAAACAAGTATCAAATGCACCTATTGTAATCAGTAAAGAAGATAAAGAATTAATATTTCTACATAAAATATGTTTGTATAGAAACCTTATGAAAATAGAAAAAATAAGGAAAAAACGAAGGGGGAAAGATAATAAACCAAAACAAACTGAAGTATTTAGAGCTCAAATGAATGCACTAACTAATAGTTGTTCAGTACGAACTAGACGACTAGCAACTGCTCAAAATGATCCTGAAATGGAAAAGAAGGCTAAGTTGGCCACAATATTTAAACAACTTTTTGACATAATATGTAATGCCAAAGAAGAGACAGGTGAAATACTAGCCACACCATTTATAACATTACCATCTAAACGTAGAGCTCCAAATTACTATCAAAAAATATCAGAACCTATTGATTTAACCACAATTGCTAATAATATTGAAGTAGGTGTTTATGATACTGTAATTGCATTTGATTCAGATATTTTGAAATTGCTTACAAACAATATGAAGTATTATGGGCGAACTTCAGATTTAGGTGTGATATCCACTCGTTTACGTAAGATTTATAATTTAGCCAAAATAGAATTTGTTCCAAAAATTGAAAACATTTTAGAAAAACCTATTCCAGAAGCTTTTATAGCAGAAAAGAATAATCCTGGTGGTGATCAAGATGATGTGGTGCGGTGTATTTGTGGTTTGCATGAAGAAGAAGGTTTGATGATTCAATGTGAACGTTGTTTGGTGTGGCAGCACTGTGATTGTATTAAAGCTGATCCTGGAAAAGTGGAATATTACTTATGTGAACGTTGTGATCGCCGAGAAGTTGACTATGAAATACAATTACCTACACCACCTAGCTATGCTGACCCCTCTGAAGTTCATTATTTAACATTAATGAGAGACGATTTACAAATTCGAGTAAATGATACAGTTTATGTACTTAGAGATATTACAAATCCTGAAAGTGGTAAATCACATTCTTATAAAACTATAAAAAATTTTAAGTATTCGGATTGTGATATATTTAGAGTAGAGCGATTGTGGAAAAATGAATCTGGTGAGCGTTTTTCTTTTGGGCATCATTATCTTAGACCACATGAAACATACCATGAACCAACACGGAAATTTTACCCTAATGAGGTTGTCAGAGTCCCTATTTATGAAAAAATTTCATTAGATCTTATTATGGGTAGGTGTTGGGTTCTTGATCCTTCTACATATAGCAAGGGTTATCCTATTGGCTCTGAACATAAACATCTTTATATATGTGAGTACAGAGTAGACAAATGTGCACGGATGTTTGCAAAAATGAATAAGTCAAAAAATCCTCCAATTTGTACCAAAAGTTATGCTTTTGAAAAGTATGATAAAAAACTGAAATTAGCAAGAACATTTGCACCTCATGGACTCATGGTAAAAGTAACCAATAGTGCTACAACGCCTCGACCACGACATATAGAAACTATTCAAACTTCGAAAAAATTATCCAAAGCTCAATTTTCAATAAAAAAACAAAGGTTGGATACACTTTTAACACAGTTGCTGTCAAATTTGCCAGAAGAAGAAAAAGTTGATATTACGTATTTACTTGAACCTGGTAGAAGACATAGAAAAAAACCTTCTTTCTTAGAATTATAATAATCAAGTATTATTTTACTGTTATTATAACTATAAAGTACCTAGTTAAGCTAATCCGGGAATGTGTGTCATAATAAATAAAGTTAATTTTAATTTTAGGTTATTCACAATTTTATTTTGTAAATAATTAAATTAAATTATCTTGAGCACTCTTTACATTTGTGTAATTTTATTTATATAACTACTTAATTTATGATATATATTTTATATTTAATTAGTATTCTATAAAATCAAAATGAACTGTGATTTTGTTAAATTGCAAAATGTGATGTATTGTTTCAAATGAATTGTTATATTCTTATTTTATATACCATAAAATTACCTTATAGCTATAGTTGAGTAAATACCATTTGTAAAACAATATTTTTAATGTGTTCTTAATTGTTATTGCTTTTTATATTTATTATTAATTTTATTTATAAGTATAATTTACAAAGTATTTTCTTATTAAAAAAACTTGCATTTTAATTTTAAATTATAAGAGAATTTAAAAATTGTATATTAAATATTTTAACTGTTAATACACGTGTATGCTTATGTATTAAAACATATTTATGCATTTTATTAATTTTATTATATTTTAAATAACTCTTATACAAGGTTTAATTATTATTACTCAATGAGATTAGGTGTACATTTCACTCAGCCCTATATAAAAAAATCAAAATACTAAATTTGAAAAATGAGCCGGTATGAAATGTTGCTGATACTTTATATCAGTACTCAATACGATATTTGAATGTGAACACTTTTAACAACAAAATAATTATACCTAACTTTATACTTCAAATTAAACTAATTATTGGTGTATAATTTTTATATTCTATTATGTTCGATATTAGCTCAAATTAAAAGTTAGACGAGAAAGATTCATATTTATTGATTGGTAGATGCATACAATATTTTAATATAATATAAGTTGTTAAAAAATAAATATACCATACATCGCCTTTTTTATAATCAATAACCAACATTTGGAATGTATATAGGAAGTTACAATCATTCACAAGTAATCCAAGCGAAAGAAAATAGTTCAAGTCTAGCTCAATTAATTTTTATCGTTCAACTGATAAAGCTACTAAAGCAATTATTTCATATCGGCTCATGCCGTTGCTTATCTATTATTATTTATTAATAATTTCACTACCTAATCAAAAACACAAATGAAAGGTCATGTGAGACATTTTTACTAACCAAGAAAATATATATTTAATGATAGGGGTTTCTAGCGTTATATGTGTTTTGTACAGGATAAAATTGAATGGAGCTGCGTCATCGAGGTAATAGGGCCGACAACAATCAACAAATGGAAACGTTTCAAGTTGATGAAAAATCCAGCAATTCTAAGGATGAAGATATCAGAAATCAAAAATGTCTCTCCGCCGTACCGACTCTTTTAGTTTCACTGACCGTATTGATAATTTTAAATGTGCTTGTTTATTACATGGACAACAAATTACCCCCCGTCGAAACAAATAATTCGACCAATAATGATTTTGTCTCTAAACGCGCCATGTCCACATTAATTAAACTAGCAAATTTGGGTCCAAGGCCAGTTGGTAGTTATGAGAATGAAAAATTAGCTTTTAATCTCATAGAAACCGAAATTAATGACATTACAAACGAAGTAGGCAATGTCAATGATATTGCAATGTACAATCAGAAAGTTAGTGGTTCGTTTATTCTAAATATGAAAAATTGGAAGTATTTATTAAGTTATGAAGGCTTACAAAATATTGTTGTTAAATTAGATCCTAAGCAAGGCACAAACGATGCCATTTTGCTAAATTGTCATTATGATACAGTTCCGGCCGGGCCAGGTGTAAGTGACAACGGTGTGAACTGTGCTGTGATGGTAGAACTTTTACGAATTTTAGTGAAAACCCCACATCTCAGGAGACCTATAATTTTTTTATTTAACGGTGGTGAAGAAATAATGCTTCAAGCTTCCCACGGGTTTGTCACTCAACACCCTTGGTCCAAGAGTGCAAAACACGTGATAAATCTCGACAGTTGTGGAGCAGGTGGCCGAGAAATATTGTTCCAGACCACAAAGTCGGACTCGTACTTGGTAGATTTGTACGCCCGCACCGTTCCCCATCCGTACGGGCAAGTGATTGGCGAGGAATTATTTCAATCGGGCATAATACCGTCGGACACGGATTTTAGGATATTCAGAGATTTCGGAAACATGTCCGGTCTCGATCTGGCGCATTACAAAAACGGGTACGTCTATCACACGAAATACGATAATTTGGATCAAATCGAACCGGCCGTGCTGCAAAACACCGGTGAAAACCTGTTCGCGCTCGCCAAAGCAATGTCCACGCACAACGTGACGAACAGCACCAAAACCAAGTACGTATTCTTCGACGTGTTCGGCGTGTACATGCTTTCCTATACGGAACTCTCAGGGGCGTTCGCCAACTTCATAATCGTGCTGTTGTCCTTTTTCTCGATTTTCCTGTCGCTGAAATTCACGACGGTCGGGATGAACCGCCGCGAATACAGCATGCACCTGTTGACGGCTATCGTGAGTCCCGGTTGCACGATCGTGGCGGCTATACTGTCGTGTCTGCTGGTAGCGTTCGCGCTGGACCGACTCGGGTGCTCGATGAGCTGGTACAGCAACCGGTCCAACCTGCTGGTGTACTTCGGCACCGCGACATGGTCAATATTGACCGTGGCGGCTTACTACCCGAAAATCCGATCCAGGACCGATGCGGAATGGACAGTGACGATGCTCAACGGCGTTCAGCTGTTCTGGACGACCCTGCTGTTCGTCGCCACCATGGCTGGTCTGCGTTCCAGCTACCTGTTCGCGGTCATGGTGCTGTGGCCGTCGGCCGCCAGCTGCACGTTGGGCATACTGAACGCCGGCCGGACACCAGCTGTCTGGATAGCGGGATACGCGGCGTCGCTGTTCGTGCCCGTCGCTTTCGTGCTGTACCTGACGCAAATGTTCGCGTCGCTGTTCGTGCCGATCTCCGGACGCCTCGGGCCCAACATTAACCCCGACTACGTAATCGGCACGCTGATGGCCATGTCTGCGTACGCCACTGTCGGTCACCTGGCGCCGGCCATCGCACTGGTGAATAGGCCGCGCCATGCCTTGGCTGGCCTAGGCGCCGCGGTACTGATGATGGCCGTGGCCATCGTCGCCTTTCGGCCAATCGGGTTCCCATACTCTAGCTCCAAGACCGAGCAGCGGCTCGACCTGATACACACACAACGCTTGTTCCACCATTTCGGCGGTGGTGTCCGGTACAACGACTCCGGTTACCTGATCGTCAACTGGGACCGGCAGGGTCCGCGAACGGTCGCCGACCACGTGCCTAACGCGGCCCGCATCGATTGCGCCAGCGAACTGATGTGTGGCTCACCGGTGACCGGGTCGCTAGCGCATCACACCGGTTGGCTGCCGGGTCGACCGGCGCCTGTGTCTCAGCGGTCCGCGGCCACGGCCCAAGTGGCCGTACTCGAGAACGACGAGCGACGGCGACGGATCGTGTTCAACGTAACCGGGCCGGAGAGGGTAAACGTGTACGTCAGCCCTTATCCCGGCACGAGGTTGAAGAACTGGAGTTTCTCGGGACAACCTGAAGTGGCCACCAGTTGGATGGGAAATGACGTGTACGTGATAAAGCACTCGTCGGGGGCGGGTACGGCGGCTGGTGGCCCGCAGAATGTGTGGAGCTTTTGGTTGGAACACGAATGCGACCGTGGCTTTGGTGAAATGTCTCTCAACGTCACATTGGCGTACAGTTGGGTAATACACAAGGACATGGTGTTGGGTGACGAATTCCGATCGTTCGTCTCCTCGTTTCCGAGTTGGGTGCACGTCAATGTTGCAGTCGCCAGCGTTGAAGCGTTTGTATACTAAATCAATAAACTTGGGACTTGAATAAGTATACTTATCATACATATCATTTTATGTAGGTAAACTCTATACGAGGCATATGTTTCCTATGTATCTATGCCTACCTATTGTTTCAAAAATATATTTTCACTTTCAACCTTTTTCAGCTCAAATAAAATATAATATTAAATATAGTTACCTAATTAATTTATTATCAATATTGTATAGGTAATAGTTATAATTTATAAAGTTATACCTTTTGCCTAATATATATATATATAGGGTTTTGATTGTACGGATGGCATATTATTAATTTATTATTTTATTTAATAATACTGTACATGCATATGGTGTGATGGTGAAATTGCATTTATTATAGGTAATATAATATTATTATGTATTTATAAATAATTTTTAAACTTTTATGATTTGGATTTGTTTAAATAATAGATAAATAATATGTATAATGCCTGATCAAAATATGTTTAATAAATTATCAATTAACTGTTTTATACTTATGTTTGAAAAAAAAATGGTAATTTGTTATTTGATTTTATCTTGCTGACCAATTTCATTTTAGTAATTCGGTATTTACTTAGATTTTAATTCGAAAAAGGTAAATTCTAGAAAGCCTATGCCCTATAATTTATTTAGGCATACTTTATACGGCTGGTAAAGTGAACTTTTTTGTACTTGAGAGTCGTATAAAAAAAGGTGATTGATTCTTTTTGATATCACCATAACATTAATAATTAAAAATAATTATATTTTATGGATCACTTAAACAGTTTCTGTGACCAGTCTCGCTGTACAAGGTTCTATTAGTTTTTACACAATTCGAACTCCAAAGTGTGATGAATTTTTTTTCTCAACAAAATTGAGAGAATTGACCTTTTATAAAATATAAAGCCAAGATAATATTATCGAGGGCATCCTCTTAGGCTTTTTATTATATTTTAATTTTAAAGCGAGTTATGAGTATTTTAAGATGTGCAAACATTCTACAATTTTAAAATATCCATAACTCGTGGCTACACAAATTAAAGCTCGCATGTTATATAAAGAAATGTCAAAGTAGTCTGAGCTACTATTTTATAGAAAATAATAACATTTTAATATACGCAAATGATAATTATTATAGCGTACTGCCGTATAATGTACAAATATAATAATAATATAATAGTCACGTGCGCAGTCATATTGTTTCTTGTCATGACGTACAAATGAATTTCAAATACCTACCTATAGGTACATGATTCATCGTTCATACTTCAAGAGTTCATTTCTATGTAGGTATAATAATTTCTATTTTTTTTTTCAAGACCTTTTTTTAATAGGTACCTATATATAATTTAAAACTATTATTGAAATTGCTTATGTCATAAATATCCAAATAGGTAAGTACCTATTATAGACTATAGTGACTAACCTAACCTACCCCCCCCCCCTCGGCGGGTAATACGTTTCCTATAACAAATGAATAATGGACATATTATTATTATATTTTGGTCCCGGCCCCAAAATTATCCTAATTCGGGTATGCTAATAATTTATAATATTTAAAATTGTAATAATAAATGATAATTACTTTTAGTTTTCACTTTAAAATAGCTATTATGTTAGAACGTTATAACTTATAAATATTAACACACAGAATAAAATAATTATGAAGGACTATGGTTAAAATAGTTGACTTTTAGCAATCACTCTCATACATTTATAATAATATATACCTATTTTATATTTTACTTATTGACAGTTTTTTTTATGCTATGAACATATTTTAATTTTTAGGAAATGTATAAGTATAGTAAAACTCTTAAAAATACCTCCTATACTAATTGTATTTATTGCCATTTATAAAAAAAATAACGAAATTTTGTTTCGTTATTTTTACAGAATTATACGTTTTAACAATATAATCAGTTTCATTGAAAAATGCTGAGGTATTCCTAAAATGTTTTCATTGGGTGAGGAATTTGTATTCTTCAATTTGCTTATGTACCAAATACCAATACGCTATCGTGTGAATGTTTTAAATTTTGGTCACAGAATAAATTCAATTCATATTTCATTATTCAGAATGATAAATTATAATTGAACTAGTATCGACTTTTGCAAACGTTGTGGTTCCTTTATGAAAACTGAAATGTTATGCTCGGGTACCTACAAAAGTACAAAACACAAATACCTACATACAAGTAACAACAACAGTTTGCATTCAAACAAATAACGTATTATTTGGCGTTTAATGAGTTTAGCCCAGAACCGTACTATTATTGATCAAAATCAATGGTATTATTAAAGGTCTTAGATCATAATAAACAAGCGCGAAATAAATAAATATGATACAAGTATATGATCTAAGCTCAAGGTGGATTCAATCCACCTAGGCATTAGTGTAGTACCAAGTTTATTATTATTCGAAGCATAGACTTATTATAAGCCTATGATTCGAAGTTTGGAAACGTATAGACACACTAAGATACAAACCAATTCTCTATTAGTCTAAATCTAATTTTTTTAAGTTTTTTTTTTTCAAATTTTTTACAAATACGATAGAATAACGGTCTAAGATAGTGCTTATATAGTCAATAGTCCGTACCCCGTGGACTGAATGAATCATAATTCATATTACGATTTATCTGTAATAGGCCAGAAGACAATCACAGAAATACGGAATAATAGCAGTGACGCAGCCTGCTGCTACATAATTGATAATTCGAGATGATGTCATCGAACGTTATCAGGATGAAAATACATGATTGTGTTATTTTCACTGTGATACTATAATCCATTGTTATCTTAAGATACTTCTTTAGTCCTTTCATAATAATATTTTTCTTTAAACTTTCCTTATGTTGTTACATAAATTATATTAGTAGTATTACTGTTCTACAAGTGTCAAATATTTCCTTTTTATTCTGCTTAACTATTGGTCACTATTGTTCTTTTGGCGTTTGAAATGGCAGCTATGGAGAGTATCCTTTTATGACGAAATTTTAATAATATTTGTACTATAGCTAGCAGTCCCGTCTGATGTTACCCATGACAAAGAGTCGCTGACGATGATCTTGGCTGTCTAATCGTTAAAAATATACAAGAAATGCCTGTTGGCTGTTTGTGTCAAACATCTACGGTCAGTCAAGACATGAAAAGTATTGCGCATTGGCGCTATCGTTTCGAAGATGGGAATGTTTGAAAGTCGAGTTTGAGCGTCTAGCTATATGTCATGTTTGTTGTAAATGAATACCTGAACGGGCTGGATATGGTCATCACCTTTGGTCCGGTACTTTTCGATATGTAAAAACCCTGTTTGAGTTATTCGCTATCAGTCTTACAGTGGATTGGATACAATGTACTGTCGTTTACTCGTTTTGTACTTTGTATAGTGCTTTTTGGTGTTAAAGAGTGTAGATTTGATAGCCTTGTATTTGAATGTGTAGGGATCAGTCATCATCGGAGTAAGTCAATAATGGACAATTAGGCGTAGTGGATTAAAGGATCAGTGTCTGGTTAGGTTAGATATGTTAGTATAATATAAGGATTATCCTTGTTTTAGGTATGTTCAATTGAGATTGATTCTATAAGGCATAATTTTCCTTATAAAGTTGTGTAGATCATTTATTTAACTTGAAGTTTGCAGTCAAAGAATTAGAAAGAAACTCCAAGAAATGCGAAAAAGAAGAAAAGGCTGAAAAATTAAAAACAAAGAAAGCTATACAAAAGGGTAATATGGAGGTAAATAATTTATATTTTATATACTTATATTATATTATATATTTTTTAATCGCTTATGATAATGTGTATCTAACTAACCCAAAATAAAAAACAAATAACCCCGCAAATAACCGATTATTACATTATGATTTAATACCCAAGGTTAAATAAAGTGTATAAATTATATATTGGGTCGGATATTATTGTAGCTTGGTATGGGTGACAGTCACTGATATCTATAAAATATACTTACATTTTTTTGAAGTTAGAAATAACTCTTTGCTGCTCACTCTACAAATACACAATGATCTGCCTAGATAGATGGGTTCTAAGTAAAAATATCTAAATTTAAAACTTTAAAGAATCATTTTTAAATTTTAAATTCATAAGTAATAATACTTCAAATACTGAACAGACATTTTAAATGTAGTTTTAGTCAATAGATAACACTTCTATTAAAATTAACAATGGCATTGTTAACTTAGAGTATCTCTACTACAATAATTAATTCATTATATTCCAGACAGATATGTTTTAATTGATTTTTTTACATTTTTTAACTACGGTAATCCAATAGTACCCAATTCACGCTGTGCTTTTTGCAATTAATGTCTAAATTGTGACTTACTTAAATCGATATTAAATCAATTTTAATAATAATGAAATGTTTAATAATAATAATACTTACTATGTTTGAAAATTGATTGTTCCATCTACATACAAATGTGCAATAAAAACGTGTGTAATATTATTTAAAGTGCAATAATTTCTTACAAATATGGATTTCATAAAGTTCTGAGCCCTGGGCCAGTTGGCTTTGATTGTTTTTATCAAAAAATTGTTATAATACATTTTTAATTTTAAAGTTTAATATTTCATACATTTTTACATTCCTATTCTAATAGGGTTATTTAAAATGCCATTGCTATTATTAAAATATTAGCAGAGGAAAGTATATATACAAGTGCAATATGTTATTGCATAAAAATTATTCTATTTTAATTCCTTTAGATTTTAGTAATATCAAACAAATTCCTTTGGAATACTATTTTTAGACATTAAAACTATAATAATTCCATTCTATGAATTTCAAAATTGTGTAACAAACAATTGAAAGTTAAGTCTACATTTATTCAAATCAATATATTTTTAGTTTAAAATGTAAATAAATAATAATTTATACTATTTATTTTAGGTTGCTCGCATACATGCTGAAAATGCTATAAGACAAAAGAGTCAATCATTGAACTATTTACGTATGAGTGCTAGAGTAGATGCAGTTGCTTCAAGAGTTCAAGGAGCTCTAACCACTAGAAAGGTAAGCTTAAAATATATGTATTTATGACACATATGACATCTCTTAAATACACTCCAATGTTTATTTACCCTTTTTGTTATTGTGATTTGTTAAAATAAAATATTTTATAATATTATATCAAGCTTATAATATAGAATAGCAAAAAAATGCAATGGCTATTTTTGAAAATATCTTTAAATGCTTTAGATCTCATACCTTCTTGATTTTTTGTTAATTTTTGTCTTATTTCTTCTTCGTATGCTAGCATTTAGTATTTTTTTAAAGTTTTCTCTGTCATCACAATCTTTTTATTTCGTGATGGTATCATAACAATATGCATTTTGAACAATACAGAGTTATTTTGCCAGTGCTCAACCCTCCACTTGGAGGACCAGACTATCCCATGCTGGGTACTTCATTGCATTGATATGTTTGCACTGAGTGTGTTCACTATGCCATATTAATACATTCTGTTTTACTTAACTATCTAAATAAGTGTATTTTAGTTATGGATCATTTATATCAAACTATAAAATATAACTTACTTTTCTAAATTCTTGTTTTTGAAATATCACATATTCATTGTAGTAGTTATTTCTACTTACGGAACTAAATCATATTCATAATGAATTATTAATTAATTTGATTATTATTATTTTTTTGTTAAATTATTAACTATCTATCTTTGTATTTAAAGCTATTAATTGTATTGTTATTTATTGTAATCTTTGTATAATTGTAAAATTGTATTTTTTGCTTTAAAACTTTTTATATTGTAAAGAAGTTGTAAAGTAGAAGTCAAATTCGTTCAACTGGAATCACTCTAAATATCTAAACACTATTGTGTCTAAAAGCAAATCATTTATTTTTAGAAATATTTTGCATATTTCATTAGTTTAAATTCTATATAGTGTTTATAACCAAAAAAGGTCAAAAAGGCCTCGTACAATATTATTAATCCTTGTATAAGTTGTATATAATTTTGTTTTATTTATTAGCGACTTAAATTCATGTGGTACTTTGAAGTGTTGTAAATACATAATAATATGTAATGGCTTATAATCATATTCAATACAATTTATTTGGCCAATAAAGATAAAATAGTTTGCATCTCAGTTTGTAATGACTAATAAAATACGTCATGATACAGTCATGAGTATCATAAATACTAATTACTTAACTTTAATTCTAGAATTATAATAACTGTAATATATTGACTTAAAATGTTTGAAAAACATTTAAAAAAATATTTATTTCAATTAATAGCATACCAATTGGTATTTGTTAATTATTGATCTATAAATAAAAATCAAATAAATTGTTTTCTCAAGGCTGCATATTAAATAGTTATGGCTTCTATCAAAAAATATAAAACAAATTTCCTTTACCATTGGCTGAATTTGAATATTCTTTACACAGTTAAACAAAATAATAGTTATAGTTTTATTTCTTATAAATAAAGTAGTGAAATTAAATTGATGTGTTGTAGTAAATTGAAAGTATGAACCTACTAAAAAAAATATTTATACAAAAATAAAATAAAATGAAATATTATGTTTCATGTTTTTAATTTATTGACCTTAATCAATATTTAAATATTTAGGTGACTCAAAGTATGGGAGGTGTTGTAAAAGCAATGGATGCAGCAATGAAATCTATGAATCTTGAAAAAATTTCTTCATTGATGGACAAATTTGAAAACCAATTTGAAGATTTAGATGTACAAAGTTCTTACATGGATAATACCATGTCTCAAAGTACTACTACTGCTGTGCCTCAAGGGGATGTTGAAAATTTGTTGCAGCAAGTTGCTGATGAAGCTGGGTAAACAATTGATATTTTTCTCAAACTTTATATATATTATGTATGTGCATAAATATTTTATATCACATTGATACTTTTTAGATTGGAACTAAAATTGGAACTTCCTACCAATCCTCAAAGTATCAGTTCTTTATCTTCTACTACAACAGAACAAGATGAGCTTACACAACGTTTAGCTCGTCTCAGACAAGCTGAATAAAAGAACAAACCAACAACTATAATATTGACTCAAATTATAATTTTGATTTATAGTTCAACGCTTTAGGTCAAACCGTTGTAGAACTTACCAAAAGTTCTCATATTATTTGTATCCATTAAAAAAATTAAATTTTCATAATATATGTTATGATGATAACTATACATATTATGTTGTTTTAGAATAACCAACATTCTAAATATGCAAGAGAAAAGTCTATTTGTTTCTTTTGGATACATACTGTCATCTTATTATTATAGTATTATAATTTTTATTAGCATTATTTATTTTTATATATATTATACATTATGTGGTTTATGTGTATTTTTTATAGTATGCATATATATATTTTTATTCAATTAAATATCACAGCAAAGTTATATTTTTAATCAATTAATTTAAAAAAGTATCAATATGATTCAATTATGTAATTTTTAATTTACTCTGATAGTAAAAAAAATTAAGTTGGCACTTCATTTTAACCTTATTTTAATCTATTAATTTGTTTATTAGGTACTATTAAATAAACGATAAAGATTAACAAGTTAAGAGTTATATTTTGGTTATAAGTTGTAATATAAATATTATGGTATGTAGTTGTTAATTTTATAAACAATTATTTATACGTCATCTTTAATTCTATAAAAGGAAATTATTATATTTGTTTCAAAATCTGAATAATTATACTTTCTTGAATGTAGTTTGAACAAATCGTCATAGGAATAGCTATTGAACTATACAAGTCTTGTTATAAAAGTTTTTATGTAGCGAGAGGAAAGGATTGCTGAATATAACCATGTAAGAGCATTGACATAGTTATGGAATATGCTTCAAAGCGGGAGGTGCTCTATTTAAATTGATTTGTAGCATTCAATAAGTTGAAGTGAGTAAAAGAATAAAGTTTATTTTCGGGGTACATTATTTCTTTTGTTATACTTACATTAGAATTGAAAAGTACCCAATATTCACAATTTAACTTTTTTTTTTATAAGAAATTTACAATCTTTTCTTACACCGAATAATAAGCAAATGTGACAGCACTATAATTAAATTATAAATTATTTTTTTAACATTTATTGTTTATTAGTTTTTGTTTATTAAGTTAGTGGATTATTGTATTTATGTTGCTGAACTAATCTTGATAAATGTAGCATCAAAAGAAATACTTACAATACACTTATTATTTTAATTTATTTAAAGTAATATTTAACAAATGCAATATAGCTTTAAAATGACCATGGTTTTTTAAATTGTTTTCAAAGTATAATTAATGGTACAATTTCTTACAATACATTTAAATTTGATTTTTTCCGTCTTTAAAAGAATTAAATTTACCTAAACTATTTAATCATTCAAATGAAATGTCTGTTTAATTTCAAGTTCATATTTGTACAAAGTGTTTTACAGTATTGAGTGTTGTTCAAGTGGTGGATAATAAAAAACATTATTACCACTGTTAGTTATTCCCCCACCTAACAACTATTTTAACACCCTGTACAATTTATGTTTGTTTTTTTGTCAATATAATATATTTATTATTATATTATTTAGTGTAGGTAATTCTCGAGTGCAATTGAATGTTCATGCACCTACCTAATTTACTTCATATTAGTTAGTTTAGCATTCATTACCTCTAATTCCTTATACTAATGAATGAGTGTTAATACGTCTTTATAAAACTAAATGATTACTTACATCATATATAATGTATCAGTCAATGGATTTTAAAGGGTATAATATATCAAATGAAAATGAAGAAATTGTACCTATTGGATCCATGAATTATATATCAACAAAATATGAGGTATCTTTTTATTTTATTTTATAAAAAAATGTTCAGTTTTTCAATATATTACAAAGCACACCTATGTTATACATTTATAACACCCATTTATTACAAAACATACCTATATTAAACAATGTCATATACATCACTATAAAAGCAATTAATGTTATAATTATTATTAAGTAATGCAGTAGGTTAAATACATTTTTGCCAAAACATTGGATCTGACAATTTTATTGTGAGCATAAAATTGAATGATATACTTTAAACTTGTGCCCACAAAATATATTTTTAAATTATGACAAAATTACCAACTTAAATCATTAACTTTGTTCAAGTATCTAATTTTGTGCAAATTCGAACTTAAGATCTCTGTAAAAAACTGGTTTAAAAATTAAACATTAGATACATTTTTATCTACAAAATAATTTGCAAATGTTTGTCATTTTGATGAATTTTGTAAACAATTTTAACTTTAAATGTTTATGCATCATCATTATTTTTAAATTGCTACTGTATAAGCTTATCCAGGATAAACATTTAGAGGACATTTCAAGTATTTACAACTGTTCGTTTTTAAAATATCAAAAATTGATTGAGGAAGTTAATTTATGGGTGAACATCCAATGTCCAAAAAATTTGAAACATTCATAAAAAAATAATAGGTATTTCTTCCGAAAAAATTTTTGTTTGTAATAGGTATTAGGTAGAAACAATTATGAGGAATCTTGTATTATAATTTCAATACATTTCTAATTACAAAATAATTCTCACATTTTCGTGAGCTTTACAAGTATTGTTAAAATTCTAATTTTGAACAGTGTAAAAAATATTCTGATTGTATTTTCGATATTTTTTAATTGGCATATCGCATATGAACAATAGGAATGATGAACTACACATTTTGACCAAGTGAAAACATTTCTTTTGACATTGATAGAAAAAAAACTAAAAACAATCAAGTGTTAATGTCAAATGTCTATAAATAGATCAAAAAGCGTCAACATTCCAGTTTTTATTTATTTTTTATTAAACTCAATTGTTTTGTAAAATACTGGGAGTTTTAAATCAAATTTTGATCTCTCAAAAGTACCACCTGGATCCAATTTTCTATTAAAAACCACCCTCTAAGTTGAAAATTGAAGCAATTTTTTTTTGACGATTTTGAGTGTGTACCTAACTTATTACATTGGCTATTACTATTAGTGTCTATACATATATCCCATAATACACTATACTAAAATACAGAAATATAGTCTTATTAAAGTAAAAAAACTAGTTGAAGAATTTATACATAAACTATAAAAAAAAACCCAATCACTATGAAATACATATATCACATAGGTATTGTATTTATAATATTATTAAGAACAAAATACTTGGAGGGTGCTCATCAGTCAGCCTCAGCACCCATGTAATTACGCCAATGTCCCCAATCCTCACAAGACCAAATGTTAAATATACACTTATTCTTATATTATGTAAATACCTATAAATAATAATATAGAATTTCTATTGATGATTAAACAATTTAACCGATTTGGCTAATTGTGATATATTTTTAATTTTTGATTTTATAGAGTTTAGATTATGAAGTCATTGAAAATGAGTTATACCGTGAAGAAGAACAAAAAAAAGGTTATAGATTTGTCGTACAAAAAGATTTTTCTAGATGGATGGCATTTTTTTGGATTGGGGTGACAATTGCCTTTATTGGAATAATAATTTTTATTTCCATTGAAATTGGGACCACTTTTAAGTTCAACATGATCAAAAAATGTATCCTTTTACATAAGTTAAACTTATTATTAATAACTGTGAATATTAGACTGAATAGAAAATTATACCTTTGATTATGTGCTTTAAACATTTTGAATGTGGTCTATTATTTAGATTTTAGATTAAATCATAAATGACAAAATTATTATTAATAAATTGTATGAGCACTTTACATAATATACATTTTAAAAATCCATTTTGTTTGAAACATTTGTACCTACCTCATTACAATACATTGATTTACGTCAAGGGTCAAATTCACTAGTAGTATGGGAACATTTTTTAACACATTTGTCAATTTGGGCCATGATTTCAAAAATTTTAATATCACAATTGAGGGCGTATAAAGAAAATCCCTTTTTACATTTGTGCCTAATACCTATAGCCCATTAAAGAGCAAATGGATTAAAATGATGTCTTGATTCCAATGAAGTGTGACAATCTTATGCTGTACTTTCTGGTCTTACCCACTTTTGGTAAAAATAAACATTTTACCTCTCTCAATCTTCTTGGAGAAATGTAACTATTGTAAGGACTACAGATGAGTATAGACAACTTATATAGCCTACCTACTAAATTTTGTAAATCTCAACTTAATTGGTGTTTAATTAATAATTACCAATGCAATTATAAATGAGGTACCTATAATATTATATACCTATTCATTAATTCACAATGAGAATAAGAGTCAATATTTCTTTACTTTAAATAACTTAGACTTTGATGGTTGTACAGAAGCGGATTGTATGATCAAACCATATTTGGTGGCCCTTTTACTGAACTTAATTCCTTCATTGATTGGGTCTTGTCTTATAGTTTATGTTGAAGTGAGTACATTTTTAAGGTCACATAATCATAATATGCTGTTTAATATAACAATGCACTACCTATTACTCTGTAATAATTATAATGTTTAATATATATTGCATTGATGTACTAGCCTATGGCCAAAGGTTCCGGTATCCCGGCTGTGAAATGTTTTTTAAATGGAATCAAAGTACCAAGATTGATTAGATTAAAGACATTGGTTGTCAAAGTGATTGGTGTTGCGTGTGTGGCACTTGGTGGTATGTGGGGTGGTAAAGTAAGTTTAATTGTCATTTCATATAAAGCATAGGTACTATTTTGATATTATACTTCATCAAATAAAATAAGCGTATACTATTGACGTTGTAAATTTAACTAATATTTTTACTGTCATTACTAGAGCAAGGACTTTCATGCATTTGCATGTTTTTTCTGGTTTAGTTAAACGTATGCAGAGTTGAGAGTAAGTACACAATACTTTTCACAACGCTTGTGACCAAAAGCTAAAAGTTTTTAGTGCATATTTTTGCATATTTGGATATTTTTTGGTTTAAGGGGCATATTTTTGATTGTAAGAGCATATTTTAAGCTTTTAGTGCATATTTTGATGGTTTATCGAATTCGAGCACTTTGGTGAATATTTTCCTTGAATCAAGGTTAACAATTTGTTATAAACTTATAAAGACGATAGAGATAAATTTTATCTTAAAATAATAATAATGGTCAGTATTTATTATGTCTATTTTTGTATTTTTATTTAACGAATAGTAGGTTAGTAGGATAAAAACAATAGTATGAAGTATCTATAGTCAGTAGGTAGATTAGATCAGTTCTAGTAGATTCGCTGCGTGTGTGAAACTTTCGTGTGTTTAATTTTTGTATAACGTTCATGAGTTTTATTT